TATATATTAGGGGTGTGCTACGGGATGCTCTCCTCAACAGTGGTCTGATTTTCCTCCGTGCAGCTCGAAACATGCCTGATTCCGCCGGGCTCCCCACGGGTGCCGTGATCCCCTCCGATCATCCCGTATTCCGACGCCCCTTATAAAAGCTAATGTGCTGATTTTACGTTTTCAACCTGCCCTGATCCTTCCTTGCAATCCTTTCCCTGCTCCCTCCGGTTCTTCTTTCAGCGAGGATCGGCGGCGGCTTTGATCACAGTCCCCCGTTAAAGGTTTAAAAACGTCTCAATTCCTGACGATTGTTGGGGCCTCGGTGGTTTACTTAAAGCGTTTCCCCGCATTCCCCCGTTCAAATTTACCACTCCTAAATGAGGCACCTTCTCTCCCAGCTTCCCATCCCGCCGCCGCTTTCAAGTTCCCCCCGTTCGGGTGCCATGGCCATAAGCCCTAGATTTTGTCTCCCCCATCTTTTTGCCAAATACAAAAAAAGACCCAGTAAGCCGGGTCTTCATCGACGTAATCCCCAGATCTCCCACTCTCTTGGAAATCGATGCTGAGGTTGAGAGGGGGTGAAACTTCCCTCTTAACTCATCGAGCTGGGAAGTGATAAAGTCCTGGGATCACTTTTTTTTTTTTTTTGCAATCGCAGTGGCGTCATGATGAAACTAATGGTGCAATTTTGTGCTCCCTCGCCACTTCACAGGGTGTCCTTTATAGCAGGCATTGTGTGGATTGTTCGTCTACCACGCCAGGCAAATAGGCTCTTCATTGCGAGCTTGAGGGAAAACAAATAAAGAAGTAAATAAGAGGCAAAGTCAACTGCAGTTGAGATTGATATTGATATTGATTGATATCTTAGAGTAGACACTTTGGCAGCAAAAAACAAGGACAGAAGCGTCATGGAGAAATGTGAGCCAGGGAGCATTAACAACGACACAACAGATTTGTTTTGTGCCAGCCTAAAAAACACAAGTTTCTAGCATTCCATTATTCTCGACCTCATGTGAAAAAAAACAAAACAGTGTGAGTACACCCCTCACGTTTTTGTAACTATTAAATCTTTTCATGGAATAACACTTAAGAAATTGGATTTTTCTCCAATCTAGTCAGTGTACAGTTTGTGTCACAGATGCTAGCTTGCGCTGAGCAAATGTAAGTTAGCCAGTCAAAATCCTTAAAGAAGAGGGTGCTGGCCACTTGTCTGGCAGCCTGGGGGTTTAGCCTAGCATGTTTTGAAGCCCGACACTCTCAAGATCGCCGTTAAATTTTTATTACGGAGTAAATTGACTCAAATAACTCAATACATAACCATTACAGGCTAAACTGCCGGCAACTGAAGCGTCCAACTTGGGCCCAATTAGCCATTTTCTCCACCGGGTAACATGTGACTCATTAGTGTGATAAAGTCTCATGTGTGAATTTGACGCAAATGTGTTAACAGTGGTGTTAGCACTCTCACAGTTTCTCATTCTAGTCAATTGAAGTTCACTTGCTAGCTGTTCAATCAATTGGGGTTACGTTTGACCCGGCAGTTTAAGAGTGCACCTCACGTCAAAGAACTCTCTGGCAGTTGTGTTGCATGACAGTGGTCAGGTTGAGGGTCAGAGCTAGGACAGCAGCGCTTCAGCCAGCCGTTCTTGGCATATGTCAGCCTGATGGAGGCTACGGAGCAGTGGGGTGGTATGTTCCGCTACAACCCTCTGCCCCTACGCTCCAGCGCTGTAATTAATATGTTGTCGTATCAAAATTGAAGTGTTTGCCTCGGAAATGTCCCGCACCCGGCACCCGCCCCTTATTAAACAGCTGACCTCCAAGCAGCTGAAGGTTGCTTGGGAAACTTGGCTCGCCCCCGAGCGAAAACATCTGCTTTCCTCGCGGGCGCGACTGCCGTGGACCCCCACAGACCCCCGCACCTCAGCTGGCCGCCGCGGCCCCGGCGAGAGAGAGCCTTTCCGCTGTCCTCGCGCGATGACCCCGACATTTATAACTCGGCTAAACCTCGAGACCAGAATTGGGGCCCTCTCCATCAATGGAGCGCCAGCGCGGTCACTCGACCGCTGAGAGGGAGCGCTCCTGTCTTGTTAGCCCCTCTTCATGGCCTGTTGACAGGAATGGAGGGAAGAGGTGGAAGGTGGTGATAGGAAGAGGAGGGAGTTCTCTGGGCATCTGCGCAGCTCCCATAAAGTGGCGACGGTTGGAACTCTGACAGAAGCATCTGTCATCCCCTCGCCTTCATGCACTCACCTGCTGTCCGAGGGCCCGACCGGTCCTGTCTTCCCCTTTTGCTCGCCTGCCCCGCTTCCTCTCGCCTCCTCCCTTCTCATGAGAAGCACTTGCACGCCTCCTTTGGAAAATCTCACACATTGCAACCTTTCCCATCTTTTCATCCACTGTCACCTCAGTTCTACCACTTTGGCCGCACATAGATAAAATTGTCGTTTGTTCAAGAAATGACATCCCACGACGGTCCAAATCCAAACAAAAGACAACAATTATTTAAATTTCAAGATGATGAAATCATTCTGGAGCGGAAAGTGCCAGATAGTGTAAGAGATGTTGGTATTGGTTATGATCTGGGCCTGACAATCTTTGTCTTGGTTATATTTTTGGGCTAGCGAACAGAATCCAGCTTTGCCATCACATTGTCTTCATATTAACCCATCGTTCTATTTGCATGATTTAATCTGGATTACTTTGCTACGAAAGTGTGAGATTCGGACGCAAGTGTGTATATTTGTCACATGATAAGAATAACCCGCTTGCAGATGGCGCGGGACGCTTGCCTCGGCCTCTTGTGATGTACACCAGAAATTAGGCCTCCATCCTGCGTGTCGTTTAAAGACATTGAAGGATGCCGGTGATACTTGAAGGACGCTTGTCTCGGAGCCACGCGCGCTCCCGGTGAGGGGAGACCAGGAGGCCATGACGGGGTTTCGGAAGGTCCAGAAATAATACCGTGGCACCCCCCACCACCGCCCAGCCTGCTAGGTGAGAGACCTTCCGTGTTGGAGCCCAGCCAGCTTGGTGGGGGTCCTGCTCAAACAAGGGGATGACAAGTGTGTACGACACGTATGACTGAGCGCGTATCCTTCACCCCGACAGACGAGGCGTTGGCACAACATCCCGGCCCACTCTGTCTCCGGAGGGTCTCGCAAAAAGCTTTCATTTGTTAAAGCTTCTTTGCCGCGACCTCACTCTCACGCTGAGAAGCTACTTTTTCCACTTCTCCCGGGTTGGCCGCTGCCCTCTGGCCATCATGCCAATGAGAGCGTTCATTTGATGAGGAAATGTCAAAAGTTGACAGAACGCCTGCTGATTTTTTTTTTTTTTACAAGGAGTCTGTCGAAATTCAGTTTATAAATTAGAGTCTTCAACTTAAATTGTTCCCCCTTTTAATAGTCTTCACATTCATATTCTAACATTCTTACAGCACATTTCACCTCAGAATTCTTTGGCAATGTTGAGATTTCCCTGTACCCTCCTCAGATTCGGAGACATCAATAGCTGACAAAGCACGTCACGTGTTTAACACAGAAATTTTTATTTTATGAGAGACTGTTCACCTTTTGAAATTAACGTTGTCGACCTAAATATTAACAGAAATCAAAAATCATTGATGCTGGACCAGTGAAGCACTCCTCTGTTGAAGGGCACCTTTCCGGGACTTGAATGAGCGATGGCGTCCTTGAGTCGGTGTGTGTTTAATGTGTGTGCGTGCGAGGCCATGCGTGTGTGCCATGCACATGGATTGGCATCTTTCCCCATTTTACTGCTGGCAAGTCTTCAGCGTGTTCCGGAGAAGCCACTGGAGAATGATGAAGTAGTCACAAGACAGGTCAGTGTGTTCATTAACACCACGGCAAAATTGCCTGATAAATTCATTGCATACTCATAGCTTCCTAACTCAACTCAACTGTATTTATAGGGGACAAGCTAAAGCTAGAAAGAAAGTTGGTTAGATGCAAAAGTCACACTAATACTGAAGAAAACCTTTTTTTTTTTTTAAATTTGTTTCTTTAAATTATGAATCTTGAACTGCATTGGTCCAATCCATCTCTTAATCCCACCCACTATCACAAAGCCATTACAGAAAAAAATCAATAAAATACTAAAAAAAACAGCGCATCTGTGCCACTTACATCATCTCAAGCAGTTCAGAATCAGTATTCATCTGTGACATGACAAAAAAAAACTTTAAAAAATATAAAATAAATAAAATACATCATACCCATTCAATTCAAGTTGTGCTGACTGAAAATGTAATTTTGGTCTGACCAACCAACCAGAGGACGGAAAAATGGAAAATGCTGATGATGTCATCGAGGGCGTGCCTGCAATGACGACATTTAAAAGAGATAAATAGATAGATGGAAAATAGTTATATACATATTGTAACATCAGAGAGGCCTCTGCTTCACTTTTATAGTCGAGTACTGTACGTGGAATTCATCTTTTTACCACATGAGGTCACTAAATCGCTTCGTCGTATGAATCCAATACTGTACTATGGATGGAATTCTGCACCAAGCAAAGGAGAAATGGGGAAAATTGATATCTTATAACACAAGGTATAGTGTTGTATGTGCTATGTGCCTGGTATCATAACCGGACTCCCAATGTTTCTCACGAACCGACCCGTACCAAAATCGGCGGAGAATTCAATGAATCATGATTCATTTATTGGAGTCAAACACAGTGAATGGAAGGGATGGTCGGGAACTCCCGGTGCAATATGGCGCTAATTGTGACATCATAATAGTATGGCGTATACATGTTTCTAGGCAACGATAGCTATCACAACGTCTATCAACTACTTGTAATGGGGGGTTCTTGTTTCATAATTTGTATTTATGCGCGTGAATTAAGTAATTCGTGTTAAACAACCAAACAAATTTGTGTTTTAGTTATTCTACAATAGGAGGTGTATTCACAATGGTTCAAAACACACATTATTAATCTCATAATCTATTTTTCAAAGTACTACACTCCTGTGGTGTACGTCGTAGTGGTACTGTCCGGTGACGTCGAACGCGGGAGGTGAAAACGTGGTTCGGTTTGTGTGCGAAAAAGGAGCTTTTGATTCGGGAGGAAAAGGTTACACCACACCGACTGTCAGGTAAACAACCAACTCGTAATTAATGTCATAATAATCTCCACGCGGCACCGTGATCGGCAGGCACTGTTTTTGTCGCGGCGACAGCATTCGTATCGAAAAACCTACTGCTAGCTAACTGCTAGCGTGGTTGTTGACGTACGGTGCTACTACACACGTGATGGCTGCTAATTATTTTAGTCATATTAATTCATACTGTGTAATATAATCCGTGTATTTAGAATGCCCAGCGTGTGTGAATGAATGGTGAAAGATGGTGGCGCTCAGGGGGAGGGGCACCCTCATGTTGTCATGTGCTGTCAATATTTGTAGTGGAGTGACTGGAAGCTTCATGTTTCGCTCATGTTTTTCAATAGAAATGGCCCGAGACTGGAAGCCAGGTGATCTGATTTTTGCCAAAATGAAAGGCTATCCCCACTGGCCAGCGAGAGTAAGTATGCAAAAATGACACAACTGACTCAACGGAATGGAGTACCTGTCAGGGGTTGGGCCTTTCAAAGAAAATTCCATGTTCAGTTCATCCCTTGGTCCATATCCTTCGCTTTATTTTGCAAGCCCAAATTTAAGATATGAACAAGGCCTTGAGGCACTTGTGATGTAATTTTCAGTTGACAGCAAGTGGCAGTGCAAGGCAAAATGGCCGCTGAAACGTTCCTACTTCAAGAACAGACGTACACCAACACAGAAAAAAACTTTGAAATGTACCCCAAAAGCTCACTATGATATTAATTGATAAGGATGAAAACGAAGTGCATTTTCCTTGTAACTGTAGTTAGTTTTATACATGTAGAATGTAGTTTCAGATATGCTCAAAGCATTGTGTAGTACCTATAAAACACCTCAAGGTGACAGTCTTGCTCTGCAGTCTGCACTCAGACCTCATTGCATTCTTCCTCTGTCATTCAAGTCTTCACAAGCGTCACCATTTCTCCCTTTAGTTTTATCATACAGGGGTTAACTTAATGACACAGAGGAATGTTTGAATGTTACTTAAAACAAGGGTCTATGATGGCGACGGTAATAAATTCGCTTCCTGTCTTCATCCCGCTGACAGATAGATGAAGTCCCAGATGGTGCCGTGAAGCCGTCCAACATCAAGTTACCCATCTTCTTCTTTGGCACCCATGAAACGTGAGTGACGAGACATTTGCAACTCGTTGATACAGCTCTTCATCTGCTAAACTGGGGCGCTAAAAAGTGACTCTGGATCATCGCGCACCGCAGCTGAGCATACTATGCGCGGAGAAAGTCAGTGTGGCAGTTGTTATTGTGTAAATTAGCCCCACTGCGACGTAAATGGGGCACGGAAGTGCAGAACGACTCACTCACAGACATTTTTGAAGATGGGCTGGTAACGTAATACACCCGATCTTCTCCACAGTGCCTTTCTTGGCCCCAAAGACATCTTTCCGTACCAACCCAACAAGGAGAAGTATGCCAAACCAAACAAGAGGAAGGGTTTCAACGAAGGACTATGGGAAATTGAGAACAACCCTAAAGTGGAGCTGACGGCACCCAAAGTTTGCATCCTGCATTGTGGGCAAAACCTATTCATAAAAATTACATTCCTCTGCATCTCCCGTTATTTTCCCTATCTTCCTATAGCCAATTCATCCTGAATCTTCATCTGAGAAGGATTCAGATGCTGGCCTAGAGGGCGAGGATGAGGCGGGCGACAAGGAAGCCAAGTCATCCAAAGTAAGTGTTTTTTTTTTTTTTTTTTTTTTTTAAGTAAACTTTGGGATGGTGTGCGGAGCCTATCCCAGCTGTCTTCGGGCAGTAGGCCGGGGACACCCTGAACCGGTTGCCAGCCAATCGCTGGGCACACAGAGACGAACAACCATCCGCGCTCACACTCGCCCCTAGGGACAATTTTGAGTGTTCAATCAGCCTGCCATGCCGAGACATGCCGCAGACCCCGAAGAGAATTCACCAGTCACATCCAAGCTCATGTCAAATAGGCGTCAACGCACACCTGCCACCATTTCAAGTGACCTGGACTAACTCCAAATGAAGTTCCGCAACTCAAGAAGGCTTTTCTTGACATTTTTGAGGTCACAAAAACATCATTTGTACAGTTACGCATTTAGATGCATGTACCAGTTTCCTTTCTTTCCTTTCCAATAAGTTCAGTTTGCTGCGTTTATGGTTATCGGCACACATTTCATCTATGCCGCCACTGGTACCCTTACCCCAAATCACGCACAAAAAAATATTTAGGTTCCAGGAAGCGAGGCTGAGGAGGTGGAGGAGGACGACGACGACGATGAGGAAGGCTCTGTGATCACTGAGCAGGGCCCTCAGAAACAGGATGTACGTACTTTGCATGCTGGGAGATGTCGAGTTGATGCGGGTGCATGATTGGTTTTTAATTGGTGTTTATATTAAGTGTCTCAGCAAAGCCCGTGTTGTATCAAAATTAAAATACAAATCAGTTTGATGTCTGTGCTCTTGAGGCATCATTGTGCTTATTGATATAATTTCCTGCATGGCTTCTTCTCGGGCTTCGGAGTCACTGCTTCCAGGTTTGCATCCTGCGCAAGAAAGTTTCAACAATTCCTACATTGCATATTTCACTTGTACTTTTTTTTCCGTGTGAACATTTTCAATGGGCTTTGCCTTATCTCACCACGAGATGTTGCTGTAGTGCCAAAGATTAAAAAAAAAAAAACTCGTACTGTAAATTGGCTTGACGTCTTCAATGTAAAACATGTTTGCTTTATTTCACGACATTAACAGATCGAATGCATTTCAAATTGGAATTTTAGCTGTAAACTGACTCAAACTCTCACTTTACAGGATTCGGTCCAGCCGGAGGCACCTAAACCCAAGAGGGGACGAAAAAGAAAGGTCCGTTTTTAGTCAGGACGTCTCTGGGAGTTTCAGGAACACGCGACATCATATTTGAAAGAGATTGAACCATTCATAATGATGTTTTGATTCAGAATGAGGGGGAGCAGGACGCTGAGGCAGGGGAAGCTCCCCCAGCCAGTCCAGTCAGTCCTGCGGGCAAGTCGAAATATTCTTGGCCATCCTATAATATTCCCTTGCGAAGTAACAATTAACTCATAATGGATGTGTTTGTCAGGTGGGGAGGTCCCCAAAAGACGAGGAAGGAAGCCCAAAAGTGAAAAGTTACTTCTGCTGCAGCATCAAGACCGACCAGGCTCAGGAAGTGAAATGTAAACACGCACACAGATACCCAGTTGTCACAATACATTAAAAAATAAATTTAAAAAAATCAAATCAAATAATAATAATAATCATCACTCTGGCCTTCCTCGCGCCTCAGAGACACGGCAGAGTCCGATAAAAAAAGGAAGAGGACAGCGGAGGACAAGTCCAAGAGCTGCGAGGAGGACAAGCCAAGGAAGGAAGACATCAAGGTGAAGGACGGCGAGGGGAAAGAGCCTGAGGCCAAGAAGAAAAAGCAGTCCAAAGACGGGAACTCCTCGGGTGCCTCGGATGATGACGAGGTAAGAGTTGTCACCAGGCAACATGTATCGTGGGTATAAAAAGTCTACACACCCCTGTTCAAATGCTAGGTTTGAGTGATATCAACAAATGATTGAAACACTTTTTCTACTATTAACGTGAACAATAATCTGCACAGCTCAATTGACCGAATTGTTTTCATCTTTTCGAGATCGTAACTGAGGTCATGTAATTGCATAAATGTGCACACCCTCCTAGAGCTAGGATGTGAGTGTGTTTCAAATTAAGCAATCGCCTTAATTCAAGCCGATGTTAAATTGGAGTCAACGCACACCTGCCACCATTTCTATTTCTCTCTTTCTATTTCCACTGTAGATAAACAGCATTCAGACTCACGTTGACGCCGATGGACAATTTGCAATTTTTAATGGGCCAAACTATGTTTCTGGAGACTGCTAACTACAGTTTTTTGTTGTTGTTTTTTTTTTTTTTTTTTTTTCAATGGGTCGAACTATGTTTCTGGAGACGTGCTAACTACAGTTTTATTTTTTGTTGTTGTTGGTTTTTTTTTTTTTAACTTAGAAAAACAAAAGCAAGAAAAAACATCAGAACGCCGACACAGACAAGGATGGACGGCGGCGGAAAGAGGAGTAAGCGCTCACATTATTGCTACCAAAGTATCCCATTGCAAAAGCGCTCCGAGATAAGTATTCACACTCATGCTATATTGGATCACAAACATTTCAGCGCAATGCCCAAATTTCATCCCTGACCAGAGTGTTCTTGGTGTGCGGCGGGCCGGATATATTAGTTAGACATACGATTTGCCTGGCAGCGTAAGCACAAGAAGACGCGCTCAGTGACCGTCGTGCTGACAGTACAAGACAGTGATTGTGGATTTGATTTTTATTTTATTTTTTTTCAAGGAAACATTTTCTTATTATTTCCTTGTTCAATATCTAATTTTAGTTGGTGATAGATGGAAGAACATTCTGACTTATGTAAAAACTACCGGTTACATGTACAGTATTTCCGAAAAAGAAGGCAAGTGCTCACTGGGAAATTAACCTAAAAGTACACACAGAGTGAACCAAACACCACATCGCTTCATCTGATGAAAGCCTGCTAGCTTAATGCTAACACATCATGTAAAATGTCATATGTGGGCCAATGGAATTAGCATCAGCATTTTAGTCTTAAATTTGCTTTTGGGGAGTTGGTTATTTTGTGTCATTTCTCGTGTGAAACTGAAACTACCTTGTTGTTGTTACTTCCCCAAACAGATCGAGCAAAGATGACCCCAAGAAAACTGAAGAGCGGTCCGGGGCCAAGAAAAAGGGTGAGTTCACCAAGAGTTTGAACATCTCGAAGCAGAGTGCTTTCCGTTTCCTTAATTCCCTGAATCAATGGGGGGAATTGAAAACCATGCTAATGCCACGAAACCCGTTGCAGGACACCAAGTTGCACGGTGAAACAAAAGTGATCAAACCCTTGAATGCTTATTTCCCTGGTAAATGCCTCCCACTTGTTTTTGGAAATCCATTCAAGCGGGCCTCTTCCTTCACAGAAATCTCCATATCACTTGCGAGGTGTCACACGGCCAATTTTTTTAAACACAATTTCATGAAGAGTCTTTGTTAATTGTTCATCTCTTCATGAATGCTATTCCGTTGCCATCAATGAATTCCGTTGTTTGCGTAGAATCGGTTGCTTATCAGTCACCTCTTGTATCAAGTAAGCTCAATGGTGTACGCTGGCTATGCAACTATTTTGCTGTCTAAAGAAGCACATCATGATAGCAATTCAAATCCTACATCCGCGCAGACCTCCGCTGCGGCAACTCCTCCAGGAGTTCAGAACATTCCGTGAGTGTGATTCTCCCATCACATTGGGCTTGATGAAGTCTAACAATGCGCGTATTTGAACGGGTTTTTAAAGGACGTGAAGAAGTGCCTGGATGCCCTGGATGAGATCAGCACCCTCCAGGTGACCACGCAGCACCTGCAGAAGCAAAGCGAACTTATCGCCACGCTGAAGAAGGCAAGACGCACTGCCCGGCAAAAAACTGCGGTCCCGACTTGCTGCGTCACATTTTCTGTGGTCCAGATCCGCAGGTTTAAAGCCAGCCAGGACGTGATGGACAAAGCCACCATGTTGTACAACAAGTTCAAGACCATGTTCCTGGTGGGCGAGGGCGAGTGCATGCTCAGCAAGGTCCTGAACAGGTCCTTGGCCGAGCAGCGGCAGCACGAGGAGGCCAAGAAAGGAACGCTGCGGAAAGCGGAGCAAGCGCAAGAAAATAACACGGCCGCAGGTAGGCGTCAGCCATTTGGGAAAAAAAAACTTGATTGACCTCCATTTTGTGTGGATATACTGAAAAAGAGGACAGGGGCCTTCTCTATTTTTTCAGCGGCGCTGCGACTTGAATTTGTATGCAAGTCATCATGCAGATAATCCGATGCGTAATCCAAACTAACAAATTTATCGTCTCACAATAAGCATCAATAATCACGCTCAAAGATGTACGTAATCAAATGAATCTGTAGCTGTCGCTTTCTGTCGGTGTAAAAAGCAGGATGGGAGAGGATTGAGAAATTGACGAATCTCTGGAGCAAAAATGAAGTGTATCTTGACATAGTTCCTGTGTTCACTGTTCGTCTGAACCAATTCCAAATAACGACAAAATGGTACCTCCCAAGTAAAGCAGCTTCGTTTGTCACCGTGTCGTCAGCATTACGAGTGGCAGAGCATCTTATCAGCAACGAAAAAGATGTAATATTACAAACATTGTAAAATAGCAAATTTACTGGTCGTTAATCGATGAAACATTTATTTTGCACTGCCTCATTTTTTTTTTCTAGTAGGAATAGTCTTTCATTCTCTTACCTCCTATTGGCATCGCAAAAAAAATACAAAGAAAGAAGAAGCATCGGCAGCACTTGTGGAGTGCTGACATTTCACTCTGCCACATTTTACGTACATTGTCACGCATCATTTCATTGTGGTGCGATCAAAGGGTTGAGGTTTTTTTCGCTTTATGAAACCAAAGAATACGCATCGCCTCCAGCCCATACTCATGAAACATTAATGGGAACATCCCGAGATCTTGGGGAAGGGAGTTAGTGCATCATTAACCACCTAGAAAGAGGAGGACATGATAAATGTGCACACAGACTAATTCATTGATCCATATGATTAGTGATGAATGTGGTGAAAGCGGAAAGAATGTATACGAACCTCATAATGTCCGCCTTTGTGTGCTTATATAATCGTTTCTCATGAGCACTTTGAAACAGTACCTCATGCCTTCGTCACATCCCGGCTGGATTACTGTAATGCACTTTACTTTGGAGTCAGCAAATCCTCCATTAGGCGTCTCCAGTTGTTCCAAACTGCTGCTCTCGACTGGTACTTGTAAGAAGGAGCACATCACTCCTAATCTGGCATCCCTTCGCTGGCTCCCTATACATTTTAGTGCTCTTTTAAAGATCCTATTATTTGTTTTCAAATCTTCCGCCCATCCGCCACGACAGACCTGCCTGGCGCCTCAGGTCTGCGGACGAGACATTATTAGAAGTACCAAGAACTAAGCGGAGGTCCCGAGGGGATCGAGCCTTTTCCGTTGCTGGTCCCTCGCTTTGGAATGACCTCCCACTGAACATTCGGCAAGCCCCCTCGCTGCCCATCTTTAAAACTTCGTCTCAAAAGTCATTTGTATTCTTTGGCTTTTGACTCAAGCATGACTCAGACTTGATTTTTAGTTTTGACCGTTTTTGTGCTTTCGGCCGTCTTTGTTCTTCTTTTATTTGTTTTAGTGTTTATTGTTGCATATATGATACTTGCTCCATGTACAGCACTTTGTATACAGTGTTTTTGTGCTTTCGGCCGTCTTTGTTCTTCATTTATTGTTTTAGTGTTTACTGTTGCATATATGATACTTTCTCCATGTACAGCACTTTGTATACAGCTTTGGTTGTTTTTAAAGTGCTCTAGAAATACATTTGAGTTGAGTTGACAATCACGTAACCCTTTGAGGGACAGCGGTTACTACAGTGGACAGCTTATCATGTTATCAGGTTCCAGTTTATCATTATTGGTGCATGAACGAGTTAATGTGAGGACGCAGTACAGTCAAAAATGAAAAGTCTAGTCACTTGAGGGTCTCACCACCACCACCAAGCACCGTCAACATCCGTTGCGACCCGACCAGTCACGCAGCATCCTGAGAACCGCATCCCTTTATCTGCAGCTCACAGGATCTCGTGAGAAAGAGGGGGCGGGGTTGGAGGACACGCTTGAGCGGCTCGCAGGAACCGGATGAATACTTTGCTTACGTGAAAAGGTTCCTTTTTCAGGCGAAGGGCGCGCAAATTGGAATTATCTGCCTAAGGTCTGAGGCTAAGACATGTGTCATCACATGCTCCCGGGTGCCGGTCTTAGCTGCGGTTTTCTTTTTGGGACGTTTTGTGTGTGCTTTCACCATGTAGACAAGGCAGGCGATGGAGATCAGAGCACCGTGGAAAACAAGCAGGAACCATGTGAGGATGCCTCGGCGAGGGAGAACCTCAGGTAGCCTTGTCAGAATTAAAAAAAGAAAAAAAAGTACATAGTTTTCTCACAAAGACATTCATAGTCTGCGCTGTTTATGGTTTATTTTAATATCAACTGAAAGAATTGAAAAACTGCCATTACGCTGACACTTGATGATCCAACTGCATGTTTTGTAAGTCCCCCCCACACATTTTAGTTATGTGAGTGTCCCATTCTGAACACAACGGACACTACTGTGTATGTAAACGGAATGTATACTGTCGATATGAGACAAGGAAGAAAGTAGAGCCTGTTTGATAATCCAACCCCACCACATTTTTTGTCTCGATGTCTTTTTAGTGCTTCTTAAAGCCAGAAAGTTGCCATTTGAAATGGCTTCAGTTTTTTTGCGTCATCACGTCTCTTTTCTGTTGAGGTGCAGTAGCCTTCATATCAGGTTGAGAAAGTATCGGTGTCATATTATCAGAGCTTTTTCAAAACTGTACAGTGTCTGATAGATTTTTTTTTTTTTTTAAAGCAACTGTCCAAATTCAGGAGGTATTTCCCTTTATGTTTTTTCCTGCAACAGGTCTAACTTGTTTCATCCATTCTTCCAACAGCGCCCCCGTTGCTGCGGAGGCCTCCACCTGACGATCCGCCCCGCTCCCTCGAGGTCTTCACACTGGGGTGTCACACCCGTCTCGTTGCTTGCAACTTGAACTGGTTTCCGCGTTAACGAGCATTCTCGTCAACGTTGCTGCTTCAAGTTATCGATCCTTCGGTAGTGGTAGTAGTAGAAGACAACGCAGTTTGTCAGCTTTTACAGTTACCGTAGTTGACAAGAACGTCAGCTTTTACAGTTACCGTAGTGAAGCAAAAAAAAGCCGCTTCATTTCAAACTGTTTTTTTTTTTAAAAAGTGGTTTCTTCTTTTAAACGTGTGTAAATAAGAGTTATTTTTGTGCCTTTTGGTTTGATACGTTTCAGCGTCAAATAAAGTCGTGCACAGTACGACCCGGTGAGCTGTGAGTGATGTCATCACATTTCATTGACCTTCAAGTAAACGAAGGTGACTATTATTACGTTGACCTGTTACGCACAGAGATCCTGTAAAACTGCAGAATCTGAGCCAGAACTCAAGGTAGGCTCTTTTATTTGCCTGTCCTAACAAAAATCCCACAAAAACATGTCAGCAATGCTGGATATGATGAATGAATCTCAGTCAACAGTCTTAACTTTATTATGAGTCTCTTAGAAATATAAACAGAATGTACAAAACAGGAAATCGACCTGTCGCAAAAACTAAAAACGTGCGTCAACATGACGACAGCATCAGTTGAAAGCGCCGCGGTCGATGTAGGGGTAAGCCTGGAAGTCTCCCAACTTGTTGCCATCGGCGTCGTAGTGCAGCATGCGGAAGCACTTGTCGCAAAACACACAAGGGTGACTCGGGGCAAACTGGTCGCCGGTGGTGCACCACCTGTCGGAAAACAGCAGGTGGGATGTCAAGGCTGGAAAACTTTTTTTTTGAACTATTATCTGTTAAATTATCCGCTAAGTAACTGCAGTGAATCTCACAGGCCTTTTATTTCAATATTCATTTGGGCCGCAGTTTGTATTCACAGCGCACCTGGCGATGAAAGTGTAGCAAACGGCACATTTCTGCGTGGCGATCCGGTGTTTGTGAGTTAGCAGCGGGTAAAACTTCCGGTCCAGGCAGTCGTCCTTGTGCGTCAGCCTACAACAGATCACCCAAAAAAAAAAAAAAATACAAACATTTCATTGGCTTGCAAATGTCAGCAGATTCGCATCCTTAAGGGCGTACTTGCGCACGTGCTAGCCCCCTGCGTACGCATCCGAGACACGGTCATCTGAAGCGTCTGGGTGAAGAGCTTCGTGAAACAAACCGCTTTTCATCTCGCCCAAGACTGCGGAGGTTCCCGAGTGCGTCACATCCTCGGAGACAAGAGTGGCCGCAAGATGATTTGGTTCGTGGAGGCACAACGGTGGAGTTCATTCATTTCCAGTGGGCGTGTGACTCGATTTATTTCCGCCTCCCAACACAAGCTTTCGACTTAGTCACGGTCGGCTCATTGGCGGAGACTGAAGACTCGGTATTGAAGAACCAAACGACCATGTCTTTTATTTTTATTACCTCCCCCAAGGAGTTTTTTTTTTTCTTTTATCTCCTAGCAAGACGACTCAAGCTAAACGATGATACATACGTGTGTTGGTCTTATAGGCGAGGCGCACAGGAAAATGATGAATTAGGATGAAAACCTGTTTATCTATTTCACTTAGAGTTAACGTGCATAAATCAGATGACAACAATATAGAAAACGACTGCCGTGTAGTGATGTGTCGTTCGCGAACGAGCCGGCTCTTAGAGCCGGCTCTTTGAAGTGAACGACATGAGCCGGCTCCTAAGAGGGAGCCGCTTTAATGGGAGCCGACTTTTTTTTTTTCCTCCTGTTTT